TGAACCCCAAGCGAGCGATGTGAGTGGTCTTTGCTTACCACCGAAAAGCCTGAGGTCCAGGCTTACTCTGTTGTACTGTGCTACGTGTAACAGCAGCAGCAGCCAGGGAGGTAAAGACATTGGAACCAACACTGCGCTAATCCGATCTCCAATGTCCCGCACCTCACGCAGCGTTGTGCTTTGTGCGCTTGTTACGGCATTAGGGCATCATAGCTCTCTCACGCGTTTTGCTGTCTCGACGTTATATAAATGCAGATGCTGTTGTTAAGAGCTCTACCGTTTAAGTTTCAAAAGTTGCAGAGGCCGCTGATGCATTTCAATTTGTACAAAGTAGTTTGCATTTAAATCGTTCAAGGCCATCACAGAGCAGTAGAATCTAACTCCATGGCTTTTATCAGTGGCGAGTGAAATCGTAATCAGTCTCTGGACCGCCCCATTGATCAATATCGAGATAAACTAAACTGCACGACAGACACAGCAATGTGGAAACCTTCATCTGGTAGTGGATTGTAAAAAAGGTTGTATATTATATAATCAATCTTGATTTGAAGCTTTCGTGACTGCAGGAATCCATACTCTTTGGTTCTTTCGGTAAAGTTACGTAGGTATAAAAAAATAATAGATCACGACGTTTCGATCGCCACACAAGCAATCGCCTTCAGGTGGGATAGAGAAAGTAATCATTTATTGATTTATTATGAATGGATGCTTACAAATAGTCACGTGGGTTTTTTTAATGCTGTTTCTCTGTTGGCCTCAGTGCCGTTTTACGAAATTCGGGTGTCAGATAAATTTGTGGACGTAGTTGTACATTTCTTTAAACGGGGAATGGGATGCTGTGGAAACACCACCACAAACACCAAAATTGGTGAATCAGTTCCTCTCATTTCCTTTTGTTAAATTGTGTTGATGTGAAATGTAGTCCTAACTGCACTAGGCTGTTGCACATCACACCTGCAATTATCTCAAATCAGCCAGTGATCCTTGACACGGTCCCCCCTGGATTCAAATCCTAGACTTTGCTCACGCTGTTGTTGGTGGAATGGCCCCAGCCAGGACACATTCTCGATAGCTCTTCTAAAGGGTACTTTGAACCACTCTTCCACGGTGTCTAGAGGTCTTGAAAGGGGTGGGAGTACCCACATTTTACCCCACCACAATCAACCTCGTGACCGGCTGAGGTATACCCGCTAATACGGCTGGGATAACTGGAACTTTGGCATAAAAATAAACGTGTCCCATTGTTTAATCGACCGCGCCAGGAGATAGGCGCCACGGTGGCGAGATGTTAATTCCCTCGCCTGGTACCCAAGAGCGCGTGGGTTCGATCCCAACCCCGACGTCTATAAATTTGGAGTTTGCATGATCTCCCCGTGGTCGGGTGGATTTTTCTCCGGGTCCTCCAGTTTTCCCCTCCACATGTAGAAACACGCGTTTAGAGTATTTGGCTGCTATACATTTCCACATAAGCCACTTCGTGGAGCTATCATTAGGGGCCAGATCGCGTCTGGAAAAAAAAGCTATATAGCTCAGTGGGCCTTACCTGGTTAAAAAAAATAGTTAATAGTTAATAGATCGAAGCGAACCACTATGCTTAACACAGCCCTTCACCCCCACCACCCACATCCAATCCATCATCAATCCATCATTTATTCAAAGTACATGCGACGCTTTGCAGCATCTGCATTAAAGATTCACGCGATGGTTATTATACAAATCTATCAAAGGGAGACATGAAAAGTCAAAGCGCGGTCTCTGGCACGTGGCTGAACAAGGCCCCCCCCCTCTCTCTCGGAGTCAGTCCCAGAGTCGATCATTAGAGGGTTCACACGTAGACTTCAAACGCGTGCTTGTGTTTCATTTAGAGCGCTTGGAATAACACTCCCACCACCACCACCAACCTCCCCACGACGCATTTTTGTTGTTTCTGTTCTTGTTACGCGGGAGATTCCTGGAACAGAAATTACATTTGGCGCAGCGGTAAATAATGTAACATAAATACGGTCGTGCATTTGAGAGAATTGCCACGTGACAGGCGATGAGTTGAATGATGCTGTTTGTTTTGTGACGGAATCACACAGAAAGTGTTTCCGTCTCATTGCATCTCATCTCAGCAATCAATCTTTATTTAAATATACCACAACCCTTCACAATGACATCGCCACTGAGCGCTTTGCAAGTAAACATACCACGACATCAATCTAATGAAAGTTACACAAGCAACAATAAGTATACACATTAGTTCAAGCTTTATCAAATAGATTATAAAAAAAAAACTTTAGCCTGGGGCGCATAACAACAGGCGCTGTAGGCCCTAAGGGGATAACGTCCTCAGCCGAAGGGCCGTCCAATCCAATCCACTGTTGTGCTGTACTCTGCCCCAATGCCTGTGCTCCCCGCCTTCACCATCCCGCATTGATGAGAGCGCTCAATAACTGTCACGTAACCCACACGACCCCCGCACGGCGTGGGGAGGCCCTCATCCGGCGCTGGAACGTCGACAACACGGGCCGCACGGGCACAGCAACACGTGCGTTTTCGTTTGATTGTTCCATATCCATCGTTTGGGTCTCTCAGGCGCCAGGACGGCTCCCCACGACTCTCCCGTGTCGCTCTCGCGTCGTGCCCTCCCGTAAAGCTGCACCCAGCTCCCCTCTGGCACCCTGGAGAGCATCTCCCGGGTGCCAGACCGTTTCATCGGTGGGCGGTCGATCCGTCAAAAATGAACAAACGGCACCAGCGGACACTGACAAAACACCGCCCCCCCCCCACCACCACCACACACACAGACGGCAGCTCCCTCCCTGCAGTCGCTACAGCTGCAGCAGCAGCAGGCAACCAGCGCCGTCTATCTTTAGCACTGGGGGGGTTGAGTGTGCGAGGGACACCCCACACACCTCGCCCCGTTGGGCATTGATGGCGTTTGCCACCCACTGCCACCACCACCACCAGGGCCCGTGGGCTCCACGGCACATCCGCAGACGGGGGCGCACGGCACACGACGGCCAGGGTCACCGGGGGGCAACCGAGACAGCGGCCCGGCTGTCCGCATGCGAGAGGGTGGTGGTGACGATGCCCCCGACTCTGGCTTTCTGCCTGCTGCCTTACTTCCCACTGCCCGCAGCAGTGGGAAGTAAGGCAGCAGCATGTACATACGCCACCACCATCCTACCACCCAGTCACATTTGAGGGTCTCTCAAAACAAGTTCCATCCTCGTGAAAATGTTTTGTGGACACGTTGTTTTTAACGCCAGAACTTTTAACTTGTTGATAGCGGTCGAGCGAGCGGCCCGCAAACCGGAAGGTCGCGAATTCAAATCCCGGTTCGGGTGTCGACTCAGCCCATTCAATGGTTACCACTTTTTTGGGGAGGGGGGTGGGGAGTCCACAGTGGCTATTCAATGAACAGAGCCGCCCCCGTCATAGGAATGTGGAATTTTATTATAAGCTCAGGGCTGTAAACTGAAGGTGAGCACGGCCTTAATCAATGCTCGTTTGAGCAGGGCATCACTTTGGAAATGTATGAGTGAGAAATGCAAGTTATCGGCATGTTATTGGCAGCAGGAGACGTAGTGGCTAGAAGGGATTGATGGCTGATGGCCGAGACTCATGATGGAGTGGCGCCACAACGAGTGAACGCACCTCCGATCAGCAGGGTTGGCTACGTACGGCGCGAAAGATGTTCAACGTGCACACGTACAAAGCGCCCGTGAGAAACTGTCCATCACGGAGATGTGGCAGGGTGACCATTGGCCCTTGTGCAGGAGCTCGACGGACTGCTGCATTGGAAGACGGCGACCAGATGGCGACGCATTAGCGGCGGCCTACATCCTGCAGTGGATAGACCACGGCTAGCGACGATGAATGTGCCTCAATGACACACGTGTCAATCCATGCGGTTTACCCCGTATTCTTGTACAGGGGAATTGAGTTTGCAGGCCCACACGGCGTACAGCCGTTTCAATACGGGCAGAATTCGTTTTTGTGTCTATTTGTTTGTTTCTCCCTTGTGATGCGACCTTATAGGATGAACGTTGAGATTTATAATGGCACGGGGTGACCAATAAGGTCTGAATTGGTCTCTAGTATGGTAGGCACTGATAAGGGTTTGACAGATATGCGATAAAGCTTCGATCAAAGCTTTGGAACCACATTCTCCGATTTGCCCAGTACAGTAATGCACTACTGACGATCGCAGACTTTGAGCTGAACACAAGGCTTCATTGAGAACAAATTTCGCGAACCAGTGCGCTACATTCTAACGATTAACAGCAAAGTCGCGCACAGCAGTCATACTGACCTATCATTGTAAAAGTGCGAGCCGAAATGTCAGCGTGACGCTGGAGTGCAAAGTCAAAGTCCTTTATAACAGCGACGCCTCGTGGTTGGCCCGAAAAGTGTTCCGATGGTGACATCGCAGCGAACTGGCCGAGCAGAGGGAATAATAGCAGGGTACAAGGCCCGCCGAGCCACGCACAAGGAGGAGAAATCACAGCGATGTACGACACTCCGCTACTCCTGACGCGGTGATCTGGCTTGACCACCTCAAATGTGAAATTGTAGTTCGCTGCTCCGCGTCTCCAGCAGCCGCGTGGAATAAGAAGAGGCTCGTCACAAACCCGGCCCCCCGAGTTCGACTCCCGCTCACGGTCAACACCGGTGACGATTATCCGAACCGGTCCTGGGCCTCCCCTAGATCGACTCAGCCTCAAATTAGTGCCTGGTGCGGTGTGTAAACATCACTACTGGGGAGAGAAGGGCAATCGGGCGTGGTGCTGGCAACCCACCCCCTCGTGTGCCGTGCCGGCCTTCATAGATGCTCGCTAACAGCACTTGCCCCAACAATCTGTCAAGGCTATACGGGGGATTTTTGTCTCTGGTGCCCTCCACCACCCCACGTGACAGCTCTACTCTGGCCCTGCCATGCGAGAGATGGAGCCAGGCTTGGGTTTAGTGATGATGACACAAAGGTTTTTCAATAAATCAGCAGCAGAACAACATTTTAAAAGTATTTTTTTTATTCAGACATCCATAGCAAATCATCACAATCACTGTATCAAAAAAAAGCATGCTCTACAGATTATATCACGCCCTCTCAAGCAAACCTGTCGACTCGACAGTTGGAACACAAAAATCCGTCTTTTGGAGTGTTGCTCATCATTGTACTACTTATTACCTTTGCTCCACGAGTAATCAGCTGACTGACACACATTTTAAACAACGAAAAATCAACATCAGAGGAGGGGGGGGGGGGGGGTTTGGCGACACTACCAAACGATCCCTCGCAGAGGGCTTCCCTCTGCCGTGCGGCGAGCCGGCGAGCTGCGCTTACTGCAGCTGGACATTGGTGAGGGTCACGTCCCCAGTCACCTCCAGCTTCACGGCCCTCCCCACGGGCGACACGCGATGATTGTAGGAGAAGAGGTGCTGCCCGTTGATGGACACCTTGTAATCGGTCGCATCGCACTGGATGTTCATCTGCAGGGCATCACGCGGGCAGGGCCCGGATTAACATTGCAGCCCCGGGGCCTCGGATTTTGAGCAGCCCCCCCCCCACCCCACCCCACCCGACCCTCTCCCCAACCTCAATAAATAAGCACACAGCCTTACAATGGTTAAATACTATGCTGTTAGCAGTATGATCAACCCTATAGGAGGTTTTTCAATTCAGCCATCGCATCGCTATGTCTTACTGAAATGTGCCGAAATTACAATTTAAAAAAAAAACTCAACATGACAGCCTTAAAAGGAAAAAAAAAATCGGTGTCGTTTCGGGAAATGGCCATTAGCGCATGTGCCATTGAGGTTCATGTTATTTGTGCTCGTGAACTCCTGTCGACGTGGTACCACTGGAATAATTTGTGCATTTAAAGGCTTTGTCCAATTTTTGATTTATAGCTCTACACGATTCGTGCTTCACATTTACACAACTAGAACTAAAATAACCCAGAGGGGGAATAACAATGACGCGTCGAGCATGGGAGGTGCTAACAGTGAAGTGACGGGATTGAATACACTCAGAGGGGATCCTCCAAATCTATAGGCAATGTTTAGATGTGAAGACAGAATGGCGTTCTGTTTGTGTTCTCTTACATGCAGTACGCGTATCTGACAAACGGACATAAATGTGGTCAGCGCCAAGTTTGTTGCTTTTAACTTAAGAGTTGACCTCAGGTGCACGTTAACCTACCAACCCATGGACTGGCAAATGTCGGGGTAGAGAAAATGAATTTTGAGCTGGATTTGCCGCTCACCCAACCACGACCTTACCTGGAAGCCTTGTCCTCTATTGAAGGGAAAGAAGGGCACCTGGCGTTCCTCGGAACCCCACGACTTATTTAGAAGGGAGTTCCTCACGAAGGCGTGTTCGTCGAAGCGAGGGTTGAGGTGCAGGACGACTTGGCCACCCTTGATTTGGAGGTTGACGGTAAACCTGGAGCGAGAGGCGAGCGTCGCACAGCAAACGGGTCAACGACAGGATGGCCACCATCCGAAGGGGTTTTGGGAAATGTATTCACAACAGGTTTTATGCCCTATTTTTGTTTAAACGTTATTTGGCCATATTCTCCAAATTTTAACCCAGTTGTAGTTTCAGCGTCACGCGATAAGACGAAGAATCCATTCGCATCTCTAATGGCAGTGCAACCCTTTGTGTTAAAGAACAGCCCATGGAAGTGGATATCACAGAGCTACCTCTGAGACGTCCATTGCATGACAGTCACACTGACAGCTTTAATCCTCAGAGTTGGAATTTTGCCAAATGAAGTGCAAAATCTAATTTTATGCGATGGGTTTTTTTTGTGCATCCATGAACTCACTGCATGTGGGAACCTGGCTAAATCACAGGTGGGTGTCTGGATTCAAACCCAGGATCTCAGCAGAGCCGACTCACCACTTTGAGCCTCTCAGCCAATTTTACGTTGTTTTAAGGACTGTAAATGAATGACAGCTCGTAATGAAACCTTTTGGATATTAATGGAAACAAGTGAATGTAAGAAAATAACGAAAAACTTTAAGAATAAAACTGATGAACATAAAAGAAACATTATTTTGTCACGTAAGATGGTGTTGCTATTACAACCATTCAACTCCCCGTGCTGAATTAATTACCATTAATTACACATTTATCTTTCCCTTGAAAGCAGTAGCGGTGTGTATGCTGTGGTTGAGAAGCCACGCACCTCATGGGAAGCTGCATGAACTGTAGGCGCCACCATCATATTCCACTTTCTCTGGGGAATTATACGCGAGTCTGTGGGCCTCTCTGTGTGTGTCTATGGGTTTCTGTGTGTGTCTATGGGTTTCTGTGTGTGTCTATGGGTTTCTGAGTGAGTCTATGGGTCTCTGTGTGTGTCTATGGGTCTCTGTGAGTCTATGGGTCTCTGTGTGAGGCTATGGGTTTATGTGTGAGTCTATAGGTATCTGTGTGAGTCTATGGGTCTTTGAGTGAGTCTATGGGTCTCTATGTGAGTCTATGGGTCTCTGTGTGAGTCTATGGGTTTCTGTGTGTGTCTATGGGTTTCTGAGTGAGTCTATGGGTCTCTGTGTGTGTCTATGGGTCTCTGTGAGTCTATGGGTTTCTGTGTGAGTCTATTGGTTTATGTGTGAGTCTATAGGTATCTGTGTGAGTCTATGGGTCTCTGAGTGAGTCTATTGGTCTCTGAGTGAGTCTATTGGTCTCTGTGAGTCTATGGGTCTCTGTGTGTGTCTATGGGTCTCTGTGAGTCTATGGGTCTCTGTGTGAGTCTTTGGGTCTCTGAGTGAGTCTATGGGTCTCTGTGTGAGTCTATGGGTCTCTGTATGAGTCTATAGGTCTCTGTGTGAGTCTATGGGTCTCTGAGTGAGTCTATGGGTCTCTGAGTGAGTCTATATGTGAGTCTATGGGTCTCTGTGTGAGTCTATGGGTCTCTGTGTGAGTCTATGGGTCTTTGTGTGTGTCAATGGGTCGCTGTGTGAGTCCATGGGTCTCTGTGTGATTCTATGGGTCTCTGTGTAAGTCTATCGGTCTCTATGTGAGTTTATGGGTCTTAATCTGAGTATATGGGTCTCAATGTGAGTCTATGGGTCTCAATGTGATTCTATGGGTCTCTGTGGAGTCTATGGGTCTCTGCGTGTATCTATGCGTCTCTGTGTGATTCTATGGGTCTCTGTGCGAGTCTATGTGTCTCTGTGTGTATCTGTGCGTCTCTGTGTGAGTCTATGGGTCTCTATGTGAATCTTTGGGTCTCTGTGTGTATCTATGCGTCTCTGTGTGAGTCTATGAGTCTCTATGTGAGACATCCAGGGTGAAGTTTGTGGCCTCCTGCACCTGGATCCATGAGCCACCGCTGGCAGTGACCCAAAGTGTATAACCCAGAGTGTAAAACCCAGAGTGTATAACCCAGAGTGTGTAACCCAGAGTGTATAACCCAGAGTGTGTAACCCATAGTGTATAACCCAGAGTGTGTAACCCAGAGTGTGTAACCCATAGTGTATAACCCAGAGTGTGTAACCCAGAGTGTATAACCCAGAGTGTATAGCCCAGAGTGTGTAACCCAGAGTGTGTAACCCATAGTGTATAACCCAGAGTGTGTAACCCAGAGTGTGTAACCCAGAGTGTGTAACCCAGAGTGTATAACCCAGAGTGTTTAACCCAGAGTGTGTAACCCATAGTGTATAACCCAGAGTGTGTAACCCAGAGTGTGTAACCCAGAGTGTATAACTCAGAGTGTATAACCCAGAGTGAGTAACCCAGAGTGTATAACCCAGAGTGTGTAACCCAGAGTGTATAACCCAGAGTGTGTAACCCAGAGTGTGTAACCCATAGTGTATAACCCAGAGTGTGTAACCCAGAGTGTGTAACCCAGAGTGTGTAACCCAGAGTGTATAACCCAGAGTGTATAACCCAGAGTGTATAACCCAGAGTGTGTAACCCAGAGTGTATAACCCAGAGTGTGTAACCCAGAGTGTGTAACCCAGAGTGTGTAACCCAGAGTGTATAACCCAGAGTGTATAACCCAGAGTGTGTAACCCAGAGTGAGTAACCCAGAGTGCATAGCCCAGAGTGCATAACCCAGAGTGTGTAACCCAGAGTGTATAACCCAGAGTGTATAACTCAGAGTGTATAACCCAGAGTGAGTAACCCAGAGTGTATAACCCAGAGTGTGTAACCCAGAGTGTGTAACCCAGAGTGAGTAACCCAGAGTGTATAACCCAGAGTGTATAACCCAAAGTGTATAACCCAGAGTGTGTAACCCAGAGTGTGTAACCCAGAGTGTGTAACCCAGAGTGTATAACAACTCAACTCAGGAGGTCTCTCCAGTCCTAAGCCCTCACCGGTGAGCTTTGGGGCTGACCACGCCATTCATGATGATGATGCGTCCGGTGTATAATCCACCAGGGATGTCACAGCTGTACGGCACTGCCTGGTAAATCATATCAACAAATTAATGTTCGTTGGAAACTTTCATATTCAGGTCGATGCTCCCACATGCCCTGTCAAAGCCAAGTTTCTTGGTTCATTGGACAGTTGTGGCTCGGTCCAATGGGTTTACCTCCCTTCTAAAAAGGCAAAAAAAACATCCTCGATGGCCTTGCACCACTTAGATCACGGGTGGCGTTGCTCAAATGTTCCTGTCCCTTGTTTAACGATCGCCTTGGGGCTGTGAAGACTGTGGTGCGTCGTCTAGAGCATACATCGAGGTCAACTGGTCTTGCTCCTAATGCCGAGGCTTACAAGCTCCACCTGCTGGATTACCAGGACGGTCTGTGCAGAGCCAAAGTACATGTTTACTCCTCGCAGACAAAGAAGCGTAGCCCACGTGGTCTTTTTTAATTTTCCGAGCGCCTTCTTAAACCTTCCGTGCGGTCGCCCCAACCCCCGACGAGTGAACTCTGCAACTCCTTTCTTCATTTATTTTGCTTGACAATTTGAAAACATCCGATCCAATTTTTCCTCCAATAACTAACGTTGCCGGGTGTGGTGGTACGCACACGCCTGCAACCAGCGCTCTCGAGGCATGGGTTAGTGGTCCGCAGACAGATCACGCAGTTGTTGTGAGACTAATCCCCACTGGACTGGTGTGACTGGTTATGGCTACTGTTTTATTTTATTTCTCTAATGACGTGACTTTACCGAAAGAACCAAAGAGTATGGATTACTGCAGTCACGAAAGCTTAAAATCAAGATATGGCTACTGATTTTATGAATTTAACTTTGAAATAATGACACATTGAAACGATCTAATGAGGAACCCCTTGTGAAGGTATTGAGAATAACAACGGTTTATAATGAAGGCCTCGTGCCGTGGGGGGTGTTTGGCCATACATCCCCACGCTGGTCAATGCGGGTTGGTGAAGAGGTGGATTGGACCATGACCTTGATGTTATCCGTTATCAGGAAACAATCTCAGGTAGCCGGGTTCAGAGCCCAGCGCGAAAACCACTACACCACCACTACCCCCAAATATACCATGTTATCTGTATTATAAGACGGTCTGGAAAGTAAGACGCACCCCACAGGTGTATCTGGCATTAATAAAGTTCTAGTAATGTTGTTTGATGCCAACCAGAGTATAAGACGTATCTCCAACTTTTGGTTTAACATACAGGGTGAAAAGGTCAATCCTAAAACCCAGAAAATACAGAAGGTGAATTAAGTACAATTTAAAGAACATTAAATGTGACAGATATTTAATTCATGTGCAGATAAGTTACTTACTGGGTTCACGGCCAAGGTCATCTGAATAAGGCAGACACACACACAATATGATCAATTGACTGGAGACAATTGGGTGGACAGAATGCAATCAGACTGGGAAGCTTGAATTTCTCACTGCGCTACGATCAGTGCGTGCGAGAGGTCATGGGGACACCCACCAGGCCACCTGGGTATGGTGGAGGCTGCGCTGGCATGAATTGAGGGGGCATCATTTGTGTTGACGGATACGTTGATGGAAAAGGTTGAGGGATCATCTGAAAAAAAAAACCTGGTGAAACACTATTGACATGGCAAACATGCAGCACGTATTATAAATGTGTGTGTGTGTAGTATACAGTACAATGTTGACAAAGACTCCTCCGAAAGCTTACACATGCTGTTGGGGCAAATTTTAACGATTGACTCGGGGAGGCAGATAAAACATAAACCGGGCCCTGGTGGACGCACTTGGTTTTGGGTGAAGGAGATAGAGTAGACGTTGACGGCGCCCGAGATGCTCAGGGTGTCCACGCTTGCAAAGTGGATGCGGTGCGGGTACTCCATAAAGTGTGACCCGTTCACTGCCACCTGGCACAGCACGCAAGGACACACCATTGCCTCATCATTATTGTTATTATTCAGTTGCCCGTTTACGTTGATCTTCCGGCGCGGTAGTTGAACCAATGGGTGGGTTTCTCATGAAGCCCCCGCTCTATGTCCACCCAGCAATATACAGGGACTCCTCTACTTACGAACTTTCAGAGATACGAACAAACCTGTCCGTATGTCCAGTTGCCGTTCGGACCGAGAGATGTAAGTTCAACCTCCGCGCAATAGATGTCAGTGGTGGCATCTACATCTGCAGAACATGAAGAACCAGTGGAATCTACGTCTACAGGAGATTATACAACTTTGAAAGCCATTCCCCGCTTTCAGTATACACGCCGCACAACACGTTTGGAATTGAAAGGAGTAAAGTTGGACTTATGAACAAATGGACTTACGAACAGACCTCTGGAACCTAACGTATTCGTAAGTAGAGGAGTTCCTGTAAATGGTTACAATCCAGTTGAGTTAATTGGCAGGTCTCGTGTGTGTGTGTAGTGGGGTTAAAAGTGGGTACTCCCACCTCTTCTAAGATTTTTGACCAGTATGGAAGAGTAGGCCAAAATTCCGTCTATTGGGGGGTTCCCCGGCTCACTATTGCGGAGGCCCTTCTGCCAGCAGTGGAGTCAGCGAGCCGTTGCAGAGCTGCCCCCTATCCGTTCAGCGATTGTAAAAAAAAATGTAACGACTGGCACAACCCTTTGTCCGCCTCTTATCTCGTTTAGGCAAAGGTATGAATCATGTTTGCCCAATCTCCAGTCTTCACGACACACCACAGCAAATCCATCCACTTTCATGATCTTCTCCATCCAAAAAAAATAGAGAGTTGTACAATTACGCTCTGTGCACCTCCGGTGATTGAGAAACACAGAAGTGCACCGTTTCGGCTCGTGTGAACTGGATTCCGAGAAGATACAGTTGTAACCAGGTAGTACGTGGCCAAATGGTTAGGCTGGTTTGCTAGGAATGTCAAGCAGTGACATGTCGCAGTCGACTTTCCCTGTCATCGCAAGCGGCCTCTGCTGGTATGTGCAGCGGACGTGTACATCCCATTCTTCAGTCTACTGCTGGATGAAGGCGTCCCCGTACTATGTGGACTCTGGGAGTTATTTGGCCATACTTCACCACCCTGGTTTCCACGTGGGTTGGTGATTGCGGGGAGCGGAGCCATGGTAGGATTAAAAGTACAGCGCAATGAATGTATGACCTATCAAATAATACAGTGCGCTTCAAAAACATGTTAACACTATATGGGACTACGGATTTTAATGGAAAAAGAACGGATAATACACTGTAAAATGAAAACAAATGTAATGTTAATAACTTCAAAAAGTCAAAAGAGTCAACGCGTGCCTGGAACCTTGTCCAGGTGGTCTCCAGAGCACGGAGGCAGCACCTCTTGTGGCGTTGTTGCAAATTCTCAGAAGTGTTAAAACAAATTTTGAAGCACCCTTTATATTTATCATTCGATCTCCCCATATGCAAATATTTTAAGGGGTTTGTTTTTTTTGTTTATCTCCACATGTATTTCATGGACCGTATATTTACTCGAAGCATGTTTTTGTTCGTGGTGTGCGGGAGCTCAACGGATTGTTGCATTGTAAGACCACGAGGGATAACGAGCGCTTGGAAAGGCTTTCATCCAGCAGTGGATAGACTATGGTTGATGATGGGATGATGATGTAAAGTTAAGATCGTGGATTTTAATTGTTTAATCGATCAGGAAGCACAACGTCCAAAATAATGCTGGCAATTAACTCCCGTAACGTGCGGTCACCTATTTTGCAGACTTGGCAGTCAAACGTCACAATTTCGATATTCGGAAGGCACTAGAGCTATACACATTTCATCTTCATTGAAAACGAGTTTCTTTAGAACTGCTTTTTGTGTTTACTTTGTTATCCACCCCATCACCTCCAATTAGCACAGTTGGCTACATACGGTGCAAACGAAGTTCAACAAACACACACACACACACCTGAACTTCTCTGTCAACTGCCAATTAATGACTTTTCATTTGGCTGCAGGGTACAACAGCGGCTCCACAGCACTGTAACTGCAACCACAGCCCGCAACGGCCTGTTACTAGATAGTGTGAAAACATCAGCCGCGCGCACGTGAAGATTATCTACAACAATTTAAAGCTTTTGTGACTGCAATGATTCATCTTCTTTGGTTCTTTCGGTAAAGTCACGTAGAATGAGAATAAAATAATAAATTGATAAAATAAAATAACACAATAATATTCTCACGACGTTTCGGCCACAACACAAGCGGCCTTCATCAGGTGAAGGGGGCGAGACTGTCTGGTAGGACAGCGCTGGAGTGAGAGAGCCACGTTCAGATCACGGCTTTTAAGCTGTGTGCCGCGACTCTAAGGCTCTTTGTTCCTCTCACACAGCTTAAAAGCCGTGATCTGAACGTGGCTCTCTCACTCCAGCGCTGTCCTACCAGACAGTCTCGCCCCCTTCACCTGACGAAGGCCGCTTGTGTTGTGGCCGAAACGTCGTGAGAATATTATTGTGTTATTTTATTTTATCAATTTATTATTTTATTCTCATTCTACGTGACTTTACCGAAATAACCAAAGAAGATTATCTACAACAAATAGCCTCGTTGCAGCGACGCCTGTTCGGAGTCGTAACGGAAAGCGCCGCTTGCGTTACTCCGTTGCGCGTGGGCGTTTAGTGGGCTCTAAATATCACCACGGGCATTGTCACAGCGCACTCCGCCCAGGCAATCAGATTTGAAACACGAGTCGTAAAAAAAATACGCAACCTATCGGCCGTGACACACAGCCTATCGTAGTCAAAGAAAGGTGCAACATGGCTCGGTCAATGTAGAGAAAATTAAAAATGACACGTTGTGTACATGACAATTTTGTTGTGCTCACGGTTATGAGCATTTGTGAAGGAATGTACACGGGCTGTATGCCAATGTTACATTTAAAAAAACTTACGGAGTGAATCGGTGACGTAGCCGATTTAGCACGTTATTTATTTATTTATTCATTTTGCGTTTGCACCTTTAACAACAGGATCGCCGCAAAGCGCTCACATCAAGATTTTAACGAAAGTATAAAAATATTGCAAATCGGAGGGAATAATAACCAGTGAGAATAAACTGTTCTAAGAAGCGTAAATAGACAGCAACAAAAATACAAAACATAAAAAACGCAACAACAAAAAACGAATGAAAGCCTAGAAAATTTGACAAAAGCCACTGATTCTTGAATAAATTCACGTCCGCAAAACCATGTTACCATGGAAAGGACATTTTTATATTTACTTTGGTATTTTGTTTGATCATTCGCCGTACGAGGGATTAGGCAATCGTACTGCACTGTGCAGCCTGGCTGAGTTCTATTCCTGGCCAAGGAGAGATAACGTCTGTGGTCAGTGATATGCGTTTCTGTTCTGCTTATCCCTCCCCCCATCACCCACCACTCCTGTTTAACCTATACTCATCAGCACAGTGAAGTATAATCAAACAACTTTCATGACTGAAACGTATGGGGCGACCTTCATCGACCGGCCGAGTGACATCGGACTGTAAATGATAAGACACCAGCTTTCACAACGCGTCGGTTCAGCGATGCTTCACTCAATACATTTCTCGCCTGTGCAGCGCGTCCGGTTTGTCGCGCGTGGGCGCATTTTTTCGAAACGTGTTTCTGGCAAATGTTCCGTTGAGCAGGAAGCCGCTTCGGGTCATTTCAGACTTGCCTTGAAGCTGTGGTTGGAGACCATAAAGATGATCTCAAAGGCTTGGCCGCGCATGATGGTGTTGTAGGCCCTCTGCTCCTTCCCCCACGCCTGCCGCTGGAGCGTGTTGCACACGACCTGCTGTGGCCCTTCGTCCCAGCGCGGGTTGAAGTGGAAGGCCACGTCGGCACGCGGGGTCACGGACGACCCGCACTGGAAGTCGATTTGGAACCTGAACAAGCGAGGAGGGAGAAGGGGACCTGGAGTGAGCGACACGGTGTGCTGAGCGCGGGCAAAATATCTTCCGGCTTGGCGACGTGGACTGGGTCCGGCGAAAGTTCGGCTCTGCTGCATCCGCGCAAAGAAGCGTGGACAGATGCATTGTTGACATTTAACGGAGAGACAGAAACAGGAGCATGTGGATTTGAGAACATGTGCAGATTAAAGACAGGGTTCTGACCGTTAAGAAAATGGGCTTAAGCAGAGCGCATCGCTCAGAGGGATACATCTAGAGGAGGGAATGGGCCCAAGAGGTGTTGTTGGTGAGACGTTCCACCCCTGATAATTATCAACACCACAGTTTCATTTCTACAACTGCACAATGTTCACAGTGGCCTTGCACTGTGATGCTGTGTTGCAGCTCTAGACTTGGTTTAATCCACGCATCTGGTTGGATGCCACTGTGCTGGCATAATGAATCACAACCATAAAGCTGCAAATTTAAAAAAAATCTTGGTCAAGGTATCGTCTCGGCCAATCAACGCTCCCAGGTGAATAAAAAGAGTACGTACCGCTTCATGGGAAACCAACACTGAGCATACAGTGCATAATAAGCCCTCGTTTAATCGATTAAAATAAATTCTTATGCTCAGAAAAAGCATCCAATCTTGTAAGAGGTAGATTATTTTCACTTGATGTGTTCTTGCAATGGGTTCGTGGGTAATCGCGAGGCAGATGAATCGCTTGACCCCTGCCATGGGAATGTGGCTGGCTGAGTGCTGCCAATGGAGATGAGTACTGGCACCATTGCTCATTTGAGGAAGGAGACGCATAGGGCATCATTGTCATATTGACGATTATTCATTCAAATCGGAATTTCCCCATCGCTAACAATACAGATGGCCAGTTTAACACGTGGTAGGCTTTTGCGACCAATATCATCCATAATAGAGGTGTTTGGGGTTAGATCGCGTAAATATATAAATGTGTAGTTAAAACCCGCCACCACCCGACACAGCCAACTAGTAAGGGTTGTCACGTAAACAGAACATGCCGATTCGTCACTAGTACAGCACTAACCGGTTTGTTGGAGAGCCAAGCCACAACATTTACAATCTGAGTACGACGTTTCGCCAGTAATAACTAGCTTCATCAGGCGACAGCCAGATTTGGAGAGAAGTCTTACTGTTTCGTTCCTTATATAGAGGCGTAGATGTGGTGACCACGCTTCTGCGCTCTTGCGGAAAGTGGGGGGTGGGGGTTATAAATGAGTCAACGTAAATTATGCATGTGCATTATGTGAGCCCATTGATCTTGTCCTTCCTGTCCATTGTGTGTATTAACATATCCGTACCAACGGTAATCACTATTGAAGTTTGGTGGCCTGTAAAAGCATGTATTTAAATAATGTATTAGTTGATGATTCGCTTCCACGCAGCACTAAGTCGGTAGCTATCTGAACGGTTAAATTTATTATTAAAAAAAAATATTCTCAAAAAAAGAGCACGCGTGCCAACAAGGACACTCAATTGATTTGGATAATGTTGACGTTCTGTGCAAAACTAGCTACGACTGGCCAAGACTAATTAGAGAATCTATCGACATTTAAAGAAACAAACAAAAATGTGTGGGTGGCATTTCAAAGGATTTTTCAAAAGTTACCTGCTGGAGTGATGGGGCACCATGCCCTTGATCATGACCATCTTGCCATCGGAAAGGCCCCCAAAAATCATGCCCACGTATGGGATGGCCTGCAGGAAGGACAGAGATGTGTGATAGGTAGCACATCAGTCCTACTTAAGAACGTTTAAGTACGTATATTTACATTTCTTTAAAACTTCATTTTATGCCCGTTATTATTTGCTTTGTTAAAGCCATGTGCTGCTCATATCAGCATTGATGGGATGCTCGACCTATCTTTACAGCACTGAGGCGCTATTGGAAATTCCACATTTCTATGGCGGGATCGAGTCTCTCCATGGCACATATACGTTTGACTTTCCCACAAAACGATTCTATTTGATCAACCCCTGAGGGATGATGGACTGAGTCAACCCCCAACCAGGAAGTGAAACTATCAAAAAGTGAGTGGCTTGCTCGAGCAATGAGCCGCCCGGTTTAATGGTGAGATTCTTGTGGGCCCTAGGTACTTCTGCTTCGTAGGTCTTCAGTGATAACTTTCTACAGTTGCTGCTGCCCCATGTTACGACCGCCGCTGTCACTTGCTAAAGCTGATAACAAAAAAAGCTGTCTCCGATCAACCACATGACAACAACGCCGCTTGTTTTCCCGTGCACTACTCTCTATTGAGAATGAGATTGTGCGAAAAACACCATTTGTATATGTTATTGCTAATTTGCAATGGAAAAAAAATATATAAAAGTTAATCTCCGGTCTTCATTTCTCTCACCTGATGAAAACAAACCGATTGACATTGACATGACTCTGTCTCTTTGTATATACACTGTGCCTATCCTTGCTATATTAATATTTTTTTGTTATTGAAGAAGATATCTGGGTTACATTTTTGATCATACAAAAAAAACACGGTCAACGTTTTTTTTTTCCCGTAAGGCCTTTAGTTTTCGTAGGCTAATACGGCCCTGAGTACTGGGACCATTAATTTAAACAGATGAGAACTATTAATTCTCACACCTTGGACTGCAACACGCTTTCCAGCGTATGCGTTTGCCTTCACAATTATTTATTGAGCCGTTTGGAGGCCAACGATATGATTTGTTTACGCGGCTAATAAACATGAGGCACGTAGTATCTTCTTGACGAACGTTAGTCCCTCCTCACGACGTGACACGGACGGACAGAGTGAGCGCATAAAACAATTGCAATCTTAGTTGGAGAGCGCCGACAAGTATCGGGTAAGGATGAGTATCACTCGTTTACAGCGCTGAGACGGTGGTGGAAATTAAATTTCCCCAAGGTCCGTTGACTTCCCCACAAAGTAATGCGGTACCGTAACTCGCTTTATCGGCATTAAAAACTCGCAACTCTCCCGACTGCCAGATGCCCTTCCAATGGCAGAGCTACGCAGCTGTGGTGGTGTTGTTGTATCGCTGCGAAGTCTTAGAAACAGAGAGAAAGAAAGCACCACTTCCTCCCGCAAGCCACTTCCAGAGGAGAAAACAAACGGACAGACACAAATAACAAACCACTCAGCGCACAGTGATGTGTCTCGTCTTTAAAGACGACGATTTGTTTTGCACAAAGCAGCGAAGGGGTGGGTGTACAACTGTCACTTACCGGGTTGACGATATCACTTTGGGCTGGTGCGTAAAACGCCATGGTTTAATTTCTCTCTCCCTTTCTCGCAAAGCCTAGAGGAGCCTAGAGGAGGGCAACAGCTCAGAGAGAAAGGGAGAGAGAGAGAGAGAAGCACAGGCGGAGCGCAAGCGGTTGCTCACTAAAAAGTGGGCTGAACAAGGAAGTCGCTTGCCTCTTGCTCAAAGGTCTTTCAGTTACACGTGGGCTGTCGTGGTGTCAGCAAGGGGAATGACTTGGGTTGTTTTTTTTTTACACAACTGCCGCAGCTCATCGATAATTTGTGAAATATCTTGCCGATAACTAAGCGAGTGTGAACATTTGATTTGCGCGCGCACTTTTACGAATCCAATCCGTCTGGTTACGCACGCGCACCCATCGTACGCTCTTTGAAAACAACACATCGTTTTGAAAATAATCCATTCTTTGCAACAATAACATAAAAAAATAGTTGCGACTCAAGCATGGACTTTGGATATGTCGCAGGTGTACGGGCCGGAGACCCTGGTTAAACTTTAACGATGGCTGAGGTTTGCGCACAGGGTACAGCAGCAGCAGCAGCTCATCATGCACGATGGGCTTGCCTGCCCGATCACCGACGGTGTCGATTGAGGTCCGTCGAAGCGGATACACTACACACACACACGGTGTGTGCACACACCGTGTTGTTACCCAGTGGACGTTGTGTGTGTGTGCTGTGCCAGCCTCCTCTATTACAATGCCCACAATTTACTGAGCAAGATGAGCAAAGCATTTCTGTGAAATCGTGTGCTATGCCGCCGTTACGCGTCACCAAGACCAACAAACACTGAGGACAGAATGCGCGGTCGTCAGACGAAGAGGCGTATCTGGACTTTTTGAAAAATAATTCACGAGACTCTTGAATTTCATATATTTGTAAACATTAATTTATCAGATCACATAATATCCGCTCAAGAATAATTTACGGCTCTTTTAAGTCAATGAAGAGTCACTGTTGGGGGCTGCTGCCCCTCGACTCCCCGTTCTCCTGTGCCCCCCCCCCCCCCGCTCTCCTCTTCTCCCCCCTCGCTACTGCTCCTCGTGGCATGATTTAAACAACTGTACTAACCACCTCGCAACTACACCGCGGTGCCCTTCTCGTACACGCCAACCACGAGCTGCGCAGTGGTGAGAGTACCCACGCGGGCAGAATACACGGGACTCCACAACGCACGGGCTCACAACACCAGGCACACCCCCCCCTCCGTACCCACAGAGACAGCACGACAAAGTTCAATGTCTACTGGCAATGTATTCCTCGTTTAATGCAGCCAACCTATCTGTGTCAGTGTGGACCTACAGGGCAGATCTAACCTATCTCTCTACGGGCTAATACTCAACTAGCCTGTCCTCTCCCTACTCACTGTCTATATTAGATTGTCCCCTTTGCCTTACCTCTCCTCTTCGTACTTACGATCCGACCTCGTGGTGTTGGAGGTCGCGGGAAGACGATGCTGCACGCGGCTTTTGCTGGGAGCTGGATCTGGCTGCTCTGCGACCCGTCTCACGGACGTTCGAGTAGCAGGGGACGATCACTCCTCGGTTCCTCACTCCAACAGACCCCGGGCAAAAGAGAACGAGCTTCCCAATTTCATCCCTTTTTATGCTCCTACTTCAAAGCCCACGCGCCGCCGATCCGCTGGCCTCTCATCCAATCAGGAGCCTCGGATTTCCCCCTCTCCGACGGGCGCCCCCCTATTGTTTAGCCGACTGCACGGCATCATAGGGATCAACCTGTGCCGCCCCCCACAGCCTAGGGCTGTTTCCTCACTGCGGTTCTCAGTGAGTTCGCCGTGGCCGTGCAATTTTAAGTCAATCCACGGCGCCGCAGTGCCGTTTGGCCTGGTGGGTGGCCTGCCAATTCCCCGGCCCTGAGAAACCGTGGAGCACCCCCACGAGGGGGGCCCTCGGGTGAAAACTCAGGGGCAGGTGACCCCCCCCCCCCCCCACGAGGCCTTACGTGTGTGTGTTCACGTGGAGGGTGTTGGGGGAAGCGCTGTGACGTCAGCCGGGTGGCTTCTCTGCCGCAGCAGCCCCGTTGCCGGCACGGCTCCCACGGAGCGACTTCGGTGTCCTGGCACCGCATCAACTGCTGCACGAAGGTTTCCACGTCCTGTGTCGGTTACGGGTGATGTTTAACCATACTTCACCGTACTGGTCATTGTGGGTTGGTGAAGAGGTGGGGTATTGGGGGCGGGGGACCCACGGCTTGCCCAGATGTCACTCGCCACTAACGTCAGCAGAAGGTGAAACACGAATTTGGCAAGCGGCCACATTGTGCTTGGGGGCCGTCCATAAATGACGTCACGTGATTTTGGACGATTTTTGACCCCCTCCCCCCCTTTCGCCACACGGCGTCACAAAAATTCAGACCCCCCCCTCGAATATGAAAAAAAAACATGCTTCAAATCGCTTTAAACTATTGTCATTGTAGTGCGTATTTAATGTGGCGCTGCGCTCTGATGTTGTAGGAGAAAACATTTATTCAAAAGTGTATTTAATTAAGTAGAACGTGTTGTCTATATTTATTTAAAGTTGCGCATTTTGATGTGACGTCACATTTCTCACCCCCCCCCCCTTCGTCACACATCGTCACAAATGTCTGACCCCACCCCCCCTAGGTGCGTGACGTCATTTATGGTCGGCCCCTTGTATGTACCATTTTGAACTTCTTTCGCACTGTACATAGCCAACCGCGCTAATCGGAGGTGCTTACCACTGGGCCACTGTGCTACCAATCATCCAAGAGGTAATAATACCAACATTAGATACGAGGGTATACCCGGAGGCTCCATATGAGCATCTTTGCCTCCGTGACATTGCTACTACATCATGGTCATCTCAGCTTGTGTGCAGTGTGCTAATTCACAGACACTAGCAGGAGGTTCTCTCTTTTAATCCGGTCTTTATAGCCTTAGGGGACAGCCAAAATGCTGCCAGACCCACAGCTTGAAGAGGGCGAAGTTCACGACGACGACGGCACGACGATTTCCACTCCGAGATCGCAGCAGCCCCGACTGCGAGCCGGAGCTCGCTTTTACTCCTGAACAGCGTGGCCAGGCTCCGCCCTCGGCCCAGGCAACCCCTCTGGATCCCCCAGATGGCTCCGTGCTTTGCCCACAGGTGCAACTGGTAGAACGGACCGTTACCCCTCATTCTATTGTCTACCAAACTCCCAGCGGCACGCGCTCCACTGACTCATGCCACGTCACTGCACGTGTTTGCCTATGCCCGACAGATGCTATGTAATGCTTCCATTGATTTATGTCCTCTTATGCTGCAACACAGGGAAACAAAATATGTGATGGCACGTCTGTGATTTGCATGTTAACGTGTGGGTGATTTGAATATTCTAAAAAAATAACACACGTTCAGGTAGTTGAGATGTACTGTAACTCGAACAAAACATTATGCAGACTTGCTGAACGGCCGAGTGCTTGAATTTCCAGGCAGTGCCCAAATGCATGTTCAGTGCACCCGAGGGCACCCACCGCTCTTATCTTGACCGTCGCTCTCTTTAACTCGCGTCGCTGTTTGCTCGATCGCCACCCATTGCAGACAGGCGCGGGGGGGGGGAAACGCTGCAACATTGCAACATCGTTTCCCTGTTTTACTGTACTCTACAAGCTTGCATCTGGCCTCTTTTCAGGATCCACCGTTTTGGCTTTTAGTCATTCCCTTGACGTCTGGGTGGCCAGCACTCAGCAAATCTGGGCCTACGCGCGCACCGATGAGCAACCAGTGGACTTCTCTTCATGAACTGAGCATACAGTATCAATGCGGCGAATGTTGATAACAAAAATAACATTCTTCACGACTCTTCATTTGTTAGTTTGTGTTGTCTGTTACATCGTTTTGTGTCGAACTAGGGTCAGCATTGATTCAAGCTAGCCTGACTGCTGATAAGACACGAAATGTTGAAACCAAAATGTGCTTGTATTTGAACCAATGCTGCTGAAAAGATGCACTCCCAGAAGGTCGTTTGCCAGGTGGGTTATGTATTTTTTTTGTATGTGGAGAGACAAATATTGATGGGAAGGAGGCATGCAATTGTTTTTATTTAGCACATGAAGTTAGATTGGCTTTCTAGCAAACCGCTTGCCCTTATATTTTCTATTTCAGCAGGAAGGGCCCATTAAGCTGCAAGGCTCTATTGATTTGGGTGTCCCGTGACGGTACAGATGTTACTAGAAAGTCCAGGTCTTAGTTTCAATCATGATTACAGAGGTCACGATACAAACAGCGAATATCGTCTGTACGTGTGCTTCGCATGCTCATGGAATAGGGAACCGGTCGAAAACGTCAAAAAATGATTCACCATGAAATTAATTTACGAACAAAAATACAGGAAGGAAATAAATGCCTTTAAATTTTGCAACCTCAAACAGGAACCAAGAACTGTTCAAGTCTGGTCCGTACAGACTCGGGTTCACGCTTCTCATTATTCATGACAGTGAACTTCTACGAAGGAACTTGAGTTTCAGGAGCGAACGGAGGCTTCTGAAGGACCTGGCGACGATTGAAATTCCCAAATCGACTGCGCGATAGAGGTTCGACAATGACGAGGGAGCAGCAGTCAACGAGGATTTTTTGTTGTTGTTTCCACAGAGCGAATCCAACCTGGACATTGTTGAGAGGTGGTTAGGGGGCCGCTTATCAGGCGCTCCCTTATTTCCTTCTGGCGATTGAGAACCCACGCCAAATCGCCTCGCAGTTGTTAAAGTCAATGGCATGAAACAAACACACGCGGCCCACTCTTTGCGCGTTACGCCTTCATTTTGGAGAGTTGCAACGGTGGTGGGGCCAACTCGAGTTCAAATCGCAGCCACGGCTAACATATCTGAAACTTGCATCGGGCCACATTCTTTACCAAATCACCGCTGACCAGCGATTGTGAAGTACAGTACGGTCAAACAACCCCCACGACTGTCACGTTCGTGTGAGGAGGATTTAATCCAGCAGTGGATTAACAACGGGCAGCACGGCGTACTGTGAATCTATTGCGCTATTAAAGAAGTTCACAAGCGTGGCACGTTCTGGTCCAGTGGCCAAAAGCAAATCCCAGAACAAAGCAGGGCCGCGTGTAGAAGGTGGTACCTGTGACAGAGTTGCGCTGTCGCCCGTAACGCAGTTCTCTCTGCCGTGGCAACCGCGTTACAGGTGACCCAGGTCACTTGAAAAATATATCCCAATGTTGTTCCCTTCGGGGTTCACACGTGGTTTGACAAATCAACTAGATTCGTGGCGAACGCGGAACCTGCATGCTGCACGAATCCCCAGGGCCATATCGCCTGTGGCCGTCTGCACGGCGGGTTGATAAAAATTCAGCGAGGCCGTCAAAAAATCCGCGGGGATTTCTCCACCCCCCCCCACCAATTCGTGTCCTGCCTCAGAACTGTTACGAGCTTTCTCCCATTGTAATGGGAGGAAAAAAAATACTATTATTACTACGTTTAACACGTAGGCTTTCGCGACTAATGTTATTCATAATAACGGTGCTTGGGTTTGATCGCGTAAGTATAAATGTGTCGTAACCCTCCACCACCCGACACAGCAAATTAGTAAGGGGTTTGTCACGTTAATAAAACGCCAACTCGTTAAAACTTCAGCCCACCGGTGTGTTGGAGAGTAAATCCACATTTACAATTTGAGTACCACGTTCGATGGTAATTACATCCAGCGTCATCGGGCGATTTGGCAGAATAGTGAAGCAATGCACCTGCTTCCGGTCTTAAATATAGCAGCAGGACGACGTCAACACTGAACCCATCAGCTGCAGAGATCAGAGCCGGAGGAGGGGGGGGGGTATTGCAATTATTAATATATTAGTAACCAGTTAATTATTATGTGTTTCCTCTATAAGGAATTGAAAGCTGTACTACCATACGTTTTATTAGACAGAGGACAAAGCCACATTGAGT